ATTCTCTGCAATTTTCTAAGAGTGAGGAATTATATGAATGAGAAGAAGCCATTGGCTTGTTAGTGGTATACCCTGTTATATATTAAATTAGTGTTACAGTTTGTGTCTAGTTATCCCCCCCAAGCCTCATGCAGTCATGGGCTGGCTTCTAGAGTTTGTGACTAATTCTTGATCCAATGCTGGGATTATAGGTGTGAGCACTACAGCTGCTCTGGGGCAGATAATCTGCATTACAATATAAGGAGGGGAGAGAAGCTTGCTAGCTGCCTCAGCTGCTGACCCCTTCCCTTTGCTCTTTGCTGTTTTCTGCTGCCATGAACTGCTGCCTTCTGCCATGTGCCCCTCTCTCCTGGAGCCAGCCAAGTATGGACTGAAATCTCTATTAACTGTGAGCTAAATAAACCTTTCCTTCCTTCATTTTGGGTGTTGGGTATTTTGTCCCAGCAATGACAGAAAAGCAACAGACAACTAGAGAGTGTTCAGAGACCTAGAAAGAGATGGCCACAGTACTTGTATTTTTGGAAGAAAGTGAAGCCAATGGAGGAATTTAGGCAAATTTTTTGAGACTCTCTGGGAAAAGGCCTCTCTCTAAATAAAAGAAGCAATATATTTCCCACGAGAAGCATAAAGATGAAGGGCTGGCTGAGAAGTAACTTTAAAAAGCAAACTAGCTTCATGGCCGTGACATAAAGTGTGTCAATTTCAAGAAGGTATTGCCATGGTCACGTTAATAATGGGCGGTGCTTGTCCAATACTGAAAAACACAGCTTTGCCTTTTCAGGAGCCACTCCCCAGCATGAGCTGATTTTAAAAATCCTCCAGCCACAAATGCAGCTAAGGGAAGTCTGACGACTGGCAGCGAAAGTCCCAGTTTAAGGAAGGGACTGCAAAACAATTAAGCTGGGGAAAACGAGCATGTGCAGGAGAATAATGCAATTTCCTAGTGCAGCAGATGCCGGAGGGAAACAGTACCCAGGAACAGTCCATCAGATGGTAATTACAGCCAGCCTGGGTAAGAAGGGCTGAGGAAAGGGGGCGATTTGAAGGGTGCTGAGTGCCAGCAAGGAGCATCTTCCAGAGCCCACACCAGGGAGGGCAGGCTGGCATGGAGAGGAGAGGGGTCCGTGGGAAACTAAATGCACGGATCCACATGGAGATGTCCACAACATTCATTAGTCCAGATTTCAACAGACCAGCACTAATAACCAGAAAAAGTAAAATAACGGGGTTGGTCATTCTGAAAAGACAGGAGAGACAGAGACACAGAGGGACGGAGCGCAGAGACAGAAAAAATTCACACCATCATCCCACAAACACTATAACCAAGAGGAAGAACCACAGTGGCCATAGGGAACTTCCATTAACAATGAGGCAAGGGTAGGGGTTGTCTAAATTTAAAGCAGATTTTTTGGAATTTGATATGACAAATAATAGTTATTTAACCACCCAGTCCCAGAAAGGAAGCAGTGCCTGGGACACAAGCCATACGCACTATCTCTCCTCCAGGATTTCTAAAGAAACCAGTCCCATCCCCCAGGGCCCACTCCTTGGGGATAGCACAAGACCCTAGAAACTCTGAAACTAGACAGGCAGTGCCCCGAGGGAGGCGACGGTGACACAGACAGCCCCGAGTCCCTCTGGAAGCAAGCAGGAGAGAAAACCCACTTGTGCGCGGGGCCACCCCCACATCCCAAGCATGGCCACACCATTATCCCAGCCAGATTTGGAGGGTCTCTCTGACCATGTACCCATGCAGGTAAGCCAGGCTGAATCACCAGTAAAAATTTTCCATGACACTCTCAGAATATAAACACATAGGCCATGACGGCTCATCAGAGCCAAGAAGAGAATCCCCCCGCCTGCCATGAGGATGAAGGTGGTGATCAGAGTGGTCCCTTTCTCTGGTCCACAAATCCACCCTAGTGACTGTGGAGACACTGGTAGGACTCTGTCAGGCTGACTTCTGTACTCTGGGATGAACATCATCTGCATTTTCTGGGCTCTTTCTTATGGCCTGTTGTGGGTGGGCTGTCAATTAGCAGGAAGGCCAGGGAAGGTGTGTGGCAGAGACACCTACCATCCAGAGGAGGCAGATGCGACAAGGGCCTCGGGGCAGGAGGGGACACACTGCCTGCCATGCGGTGATGAATTTCAATCACCACTGCCTTGTGCCAGGTTTAAATTGGCAACCCACCGAGATGAAACGCTTTCCATCCCATTACTCATGCCTGGAGGGAGCCGTTCCCCAAAAGATTGGCTTCCTAGGTGAAGGCAAGGGATGCATGGTCATCTGAAGATGTAAATGGGATAAAAGGCACGTGAGGTGCACGGCGGAGAGAGGTGGCATGCACCTGCAGGGGTGCGGGGGTCCCAAGGAAAGCTTGAGGCTGGGGTGGGAAGGGGTGCAGAACTTACTAACACAACAGCTCCGGCTCACGGAGCACAGCTACTGCTCTGCAGAGAGCACAGTGCACACGTGGCCACGTCTCCTCCAAGTAGAAGGGAAAATCTGGTGGCTCAGTGTGTCAGATACTCACCCCGAATTGGAAAGCCATCTAAAATGTGACAAAGCACACATATTTTTAAATAATGCAATATAGCATTTTAACTTCTGAACAGTAAGACCCATTCCATGTGGTGTTGATAGTCTTTAAAAGATCTTTTAAGATGCCTAAAATATTTGCTTTTTTTTCTTGAGTATGGGAATTGAACTGAGGACCTTGTGAATGCTAGGAAAGCACTCTGTCACTGAGCTACAGTAGTGTATCTTCACTTTAGTAAAAATCTGATTTCAAGATTGAGTACAATACATAGCAATAAAAGAGCTTCTTAAAAAGTCAGAATTCACCAGCACAATAAACACTGCCGTGTGGGGAAAGCAACAGGTGACATGCATCAGGACTATTACTTTCCCACCTGTGCCCTGGAGGGCTGTTCCCTGAACCCCAAGTTTAAGCTCTCCATCTCTGCTGTTTTAAAATATGCCAAGATCACCGAAGGAAGGGACACGGGGCACAGTGTACACAGAGGACCAGAAGAGAAAATCATCAAATGTAAGCAATCATTTTCAAGTGATACCAACTTGGGAAGTAATGAGGGATGATTTCTAATAAAAATGAATGTTTTCTATGGCTTTCTCTACACCTGGAGCTCCAGTGTACCTCAGAATGACCAAACGCGAGCAAATCCCAGGGATAGGGGGAGAGGAAGGGGAGCTTCTGATCCCTGCCAGTGCCAGCGCCCCTACTCAGTTCACCCCAGGGCTGAGGACCCCTGGGCCACAGGCACCACCAGTGCTGAGGGCTTCTCTGAGCTTGGCTCACCTTTATCTCACCTGACCCAAAAGCTGCAAAGCAGCCCCCCACCTGTCAGTGCCTGTTGTTGTCCTCCCGCCTCTTGTCCTGGATCCAGCCTGACCCAGGGAAGTACATTTCAGATTGACACAGCATGGAGCTGTCCTCTGACTCCAGCAGGCTATCTTCACACCAAACTGGCAGCCATGGCCCTCGTGACCAGGTGGCATCCCCAGGATGGCCACATACAAACAGACCCCGGGTCCTCCAGGGAGCTCCCTAGAGAGCAGCAGGCCTGTCACTGCCAGAGTGTCTGTGACCTGGGACAAATAAGAGGTAGAGGATGAGGAGTCCTTTCAAAGTGACACAGTGAGTTGGGGGTGGGGAGATAAAAAGTCCCAGACTGGCTAAGAGGGGAGTGTCACTGCTCCTGTGAGCTAAGGACACAGGCATCTCAGCACCACTTGGCACAGGCTCTGGGCCAGGCTGTGTGCTAACTCAGACTGGTCTGTGAGCACCTAAGCGCAGAAATCAAGAGACACGTTGGGGCTTTATGGCAGTTTGAATGATTCTATGTCTTGCAAATCTAATAATAAAACAATTGGACTTGAATTCATGTCTATCCTTGCTTTTTAATTTAATTTTACCAGGAGTTCGCTTTGTATAAAACTATGACAGATAGTGCATTAAAATAAAAATTAAAAAGTCCTTCATTACAGACAGATTGGGAAGCACTGCTCTGTAGGATTCTCACTACCTCTGCATCTGTGCTTGTGTTTTTCAGAATAACAAGTTAGGACAAAAAGAATTGCAAGTTGCTTTTGGTCTCTACCTAAATATAAAGTTACAGCTTAGCAGAAGAGAAATACGGATTGGCTGTGTACTTCCCTGAGCTCTTTTTGTTCTATCTGAGCTCCACTGCTGTGACACGCAGGTCCTGTGCTCAGGGCTCTAGTCCTCAAACTTCCACTTTTCTTTTCCTTTCTCGAAGGAACAAAGTGTAGCTTACCAAGGATTTCTGTTAGCTTACTTGAGTGGCCATCCATGCGAACATGGCAAGCCCATACGTCAGCCCACTTGACCTGGTTTACTTCCCAGTGGGGTTTTGTGCACATGTGCCCATTTCCACTGAAAATGACATCTAAGTGCCTGCCTGTCCTTCTCCTTGTTCTGGTCACAACGAGATACTAAGCCTTTCATTTTAAGCTCAAAAAGTCCTGCCCTCCCCCCAGCAGCACACAGAAGCCCCCAGAGAGGAGCTGAAAAAAAAAAAAAACAGTTTAAAAGCAAACACGGGGGGCAGGGGTACAGCAGCTCTATTGTCCTGACAGCAGAAGGCCACTTTACTGCCTTGGAAGCAAAATGTAGATTCCAAGGGGCACTGTGCTTTGTGGAGAGAGGGAGAGGGGAGGAAATGGAAACCCATGGAAGGGTGACCCTTGGTCATTTGTCCTGGGCCACTGCTGCCCAAGGGTGCCCCTCCGGTGTGGCCCTACAGGACGGTGTGGTTTCCACATGGGGTGACGGTGAAACGGCCACTCAAGGGCAGGTCTGTGAGAGGCCTGGGGCGCCTCCTGTAAGGGTATGAGCGCCAGCTTCCCTGTAATTAAGAAGCAGCCTGCTCCTAGGAAGACTCTGCTGCCACCCCATCTGCCAAGCCCGCGGGAGCTGGCACCGCGCCGCCCTGCCTGCCGCCCGGCTACCCACCGCGTCCTTGGAGACCGCCTTTGATGGAGCGTTGATGCCAAGCTTTTCCAGAGGATAGACAATCTGTCGTCGTGGGCGCACGGGAACCAAGTAATGAAGGGCAGATGTCAGCGAGTGGGCGTCGGGGCTCTGCAGCTTGAAGGCAGCAATCTATATTTTAGGAGCGAGAATGTCAGAGAGGCGCGGGGCAGATGTCGGCACGCAGCTTTACAAATACAGAGCTCTCCACACAGCCAAGTCAGAGAGGGAGACATCAGCAAATAAACAAACATACTCTTCGAGCAGAGGAATGAATTGTAGATAATGCCTGACACTAATGAAGATAATTATGAGAGTAATTACATTACTATCTCTGTGGGAATGACAGATAAACAAGTGGCTTGGTTTATAGGATTTCTCAGTACAAGTATCTTCCCCAGGAGGATATTCTTCTCCATGGCAATCATGAATCAGCGTGGTCTGACCCCGTTAAACTGTGCTGTCTGTGTCCTGTTAACCTTTGTATGTGTGTGGCACACGCAGCTTGCAGGAGGCGCGGGCGAAAGACGCCACCCGAGGGGCGAGGGGTATGGGTGGAAAAATCCTCCTGCTAGTGAAAGGCACTCACAGAGACACGACTGGACCTTTGTTGATAAAATAAACATTTCAAAACAAAAGGATCAGACTGGAAAGTGGGGGTGGGGTGGGGAAAGCAGATCATATTATTTTGACCCATTATGGCTGGGTTTATGCTGACTGAAATGGACTATGATGAATCAGGTTTCAGGAGAGTGCTTTGAATATTAATTTTATCTAGTTCGGAAAACTTGTCAGAGAAAGTGAAGTGTGTTGATTTTTATCTTTTACACATGGATAAAATCCTAGTTTTAATGAAACCCATACTCAAGACATGATCATCATTTAAACCTCAAGAGCTAAACTGTGAAACCAAAACTTAAACCTGTATCTGTTTAGTTCAAGCCAGAAACCAATGAAAGGAAAGCTGAACTGCAGATGTACCCTAATAAATAAGATGGGCCACACGGCATTTATCTGCTCTTAGGAAGAGCCTTGGGCATTCCTCAGAGCTTTGACAAACCTTTACCACAGAGCCTGGAGCTGGCCTCCACAAACTGAGCAGCAGAACCCAGGAATCTGCTATTATGTCTGTGAGTGTCTCTCAGCGCATCCTTACGGGGCTGTGGAGGACACAGCCCTCATTATTCAAGCTGAAAAGCCCGATTTGGCTCCATTCAAGTACAGCTTTATAGCAGAAGTTGGAAATTCTTATCTAAATTGTTTGGAATTGCTTCTTACACACTGTGTGTGTGTGTGTGTGTGTGTGTGTGTGTGTGTGTATGTGTGTGTTTACTAGAAGGGCAAGGAGAAAGCATATCCATTTCCAAATCCTCTGATAGTAGGCAACATGCTTCTAAATCTATACCGCTGTGGTAAACAGATAATGAAATGCCCAGTCGAGCATGGATGGGAACAGAGTTTCTCCCGCACAGCCCATTCTGGTTGACATCATGAGTAAGACTAAGGATTTGATGCCACACCCCGAAGGGCACAACATTGTGGTCTGGTCAAATGTAAAGTTAAAGGAAAATGTACAGGAACCAGGGTTTCCAGAAAAACCACGGCCTTCCTATCTCATTCTGTTCAAATCCAGGGCTTTCACATTGTTATTAGTTGCCCTAAAGTACAATCTGTATCTCAATAAAAATATCACTTGTGGTTTTTTTTGTTTTTCCTTCCCCATCCTCCTGTCCTGGCCCAAAAAGCTTCTGATCAATAAGATACAACTGGCTTAATTACTGTTATGTGTTGTCCTAAGACACTTTGGCTTGCTTAGTAAATAGTTTGGAATTATAACTCTTTTTTCTTTTTAAGGTATTTAGTACAGGGTCTACAGGGTCACACTACACAGATTGGCATCAGAGTGATCCTCTTGTTTTCAGCCTCCCAAGCACTGGGATTATAGGTGCATGCCTCCACGTCCAGTCTCAGTAAATAGCCTGGTAAGATTATTTAGGGCAGGGGAGACAGCTTGGCAGTCTAAGCACCTGCCTGGCAAGTGCAATGACCCAGGTTCCATCTCTGGTACTGCATGCCATGCTGGTCCCCATGCTATTCCAGGCACCGAAATAGGTTCATGCTTGTAATCCTGGTGCTGGGAAAGCTGAGCCAGGAGGATCATTATGAGTCTGAGCTGCATAGTGAGACCCTGTACCAAGTGTATATATATAAATAAAAGATATATATATATATATATATATATATATATATATAAAATTTTAAAAGATGATTTAAAAATCTGGGGCCAGCAAGATAGCTCAGTGGACTAGCCTACCAAGGCAAGTGCAGGGACTGGGGTTTGACCCTTGGCACCACATACTGTGCTGGCCCTGCACCCTGGGCATGCTGAACTGGCCACCAAGACTGGGCACAGTGGTACACACCTATAAGCCCAGCACTAGGGAGGCTGAAAACAGGAGTATCACTACAAGTCCAAGCTGTCTAGTGAAACCATGTATCAAATACATAAATAAATGAATGATTTTTAAAAATTGAAGACAAAAGATTATTTAAAAATCTGCTAAGCTCCCTTGTAGGTATTCAGAAGACACATAACAATGCCCAGGCCCTGGGTCCTGAGGTTCTCAGAAGGTTCAGTGTGGTCAAGTGTGGAGGCTGCAGCCCACAGCACAGGTCCCCAGTATAGAATTCCCATCAACCCAGCTGGTCCTCTTGCAGGTGTCCTCCCCCAAAGACTTACAGACACCATGCTACCGATATTGAGGCACACCCGTATTTACAGCAGTGTCATTGCTATATCTAGTTTTGAAAGCAGCCAAGATGTGTATCAAAAGGTGAATGGATAAAGAAAATAAATATGATACTTATACACAATGGAGTACTACTCTGCCATAAAGAAAGTCAACCTTTAGTCACTTATAGTAAAATGGATGCATCTTCAGACTATAATGTTCAGTGAAATAAATCAGATGCAGGAGCTTACACATAGTATGGTTTCTCTTATATGAGAAAGCCAAAATATAAAGAGCAAAATAAAAGATACTAAGAAACACAGATATGAACTTTTTATAAATAGGAAGAGAACAAAGAAAGATGGAGGAAGTGGGGGGGAAGGGACATAAGACCTGAGATATGTTATGTGCTTATACTGACTCTCTGTGATGAATGTGATCGTTACGTCCTGAAAAGAGGTACTAAAACATTTTTTAAAAAGTTTTAAAGGCACCACCTTCAGAGTACCATGTGTTCTGTCAGTCACTGAGAGAGCTGTAAGAGCCATGAGGCAGTCTATGAGGAGGAGGGGAGCACTGAGCCTGCTTTCCATGCGTGCACCCACGCAACACACACCAGTCTGTGCTGGTCACAGCAGTGTAAGAGCTGTGTGGCATCTCGTCCACTTGCTATGCGAGGCTGTCATAGGGATCCTGCATCACCACTGTCACTCACTGCTTTCATGGAGACAGTGACACAGTTCACTGGGAGTGCTGCAGTCTTACGGAATCCAATGCAACAGACCTGGTTTCTCCTATCTGCCTGTCACCCCAATGCTCTCTGCTTGCAGGAACAAGGTAGGACCACAGGACCCTGCCTTACATCTCAGAGCATCTGTGCATTGCCTTCAGTCTCTGTTTTGTCAACATAGCGGTGCCAACAAATTATCCTACTAGTTACACCACCCTGGTGATTGCACAGCAGCCCAAAGCCTTCTGGACTTGCACAGCCGTGTAAGAAAAGGGCCAAGCTCAACATAGCAACAGGGAGCTGAGACATGGGATGTTATCAAACCCATCCAGGGAGGCAAGAACGGGAGGCAAGTGGCTGCAGCAGAGCACCCAGAGTACCCTGCACACTGGGTTGAGGGTAGCGGGCTTGGTTGGTGTTCTTACCTTGCCCTCCTTGGGCTGTGGGTACACCGGGTAGTAGAGACAGGTCTTGGAGCCCAGACGAAGGATCTCTTTCAGGAAGAACTTCATGTAGTGCCGGAAAGCGGGGTTCAGGGCCAAGTGGTGCAGACGTCCGTGCTCATCCCGCTGGTGGTGGCTGAAGTAGATAAAGTCCTCAATATTGTAGTGGGAGCGGATGTATTCTATGTCCTGCATAGGAGGAAGGGCACTGGAGACTAACTGCAGGCATGATGTGATAAATATTCAGAAAAATGACCTTCCAACTGGGCTTGGTGAAGCATTCCTATAATCCTAGCACTCAGGGAGGCTGATGCAAGAGGACTGCAAATTCGACACCAGCCTGAGCAACCCAGCAAGGTCCTATCTCAAAGTAAAAAAAAAAAAAAAAGTAAAACTGTTTAAAACAGTTTCAGGCCAGCGAGATAGCTCAGCGGACTAAAGCGCCTGCTTAGGCAAGCTTAGACTGCCGTTAGATTCCCGGCACCATGTGCCATGCCAGCCTTGCCCCTAGGGTGGGCTGAGCCAGCCAGAGTCCAGATGTAGTAGTGCAAGCCTGTAATTCCAGTGCTAGGGAGGCTGAAAGCAGGAGGATCACCACAAATCCAAGTGAGACCTTGCAACAACCAAAGATATTAAAATAAATAAATAGGGGTTCAGTCTCCAGTAACACACAAACACACACACACACACACACACACACACACACCCTACCTCATTTTTTTGTGGTGACTTTTTCGAATTAGAAATTATGTTTCCTGAAGGTGCTTATTCTAAAGATTGGTCTTGCAGTACAGTGGCAGAACTCAAATTTGTTTCTCACCCAGTAGCTGCTAACAGTGCAGAAACCTATCAGCCAGGCTTGGATCCACATCTGAGCTGGAGACAGTCCACACAGGTGAGTGAGCCCGGAAGCTCCCAGGGCAGGCAGCAGAGCCTCTGGCATACCCTGTGGGGTGCCGCACCCTTGGCAAGGTGAGAGTGTGTCAGCTCAAAATCCCAATGTGAACTGGCGTGAGTGACTGGGCAATGAACAGCAGGCCCTGCCCACATACACTTCCTGTCTCCAATAAAGGGGACCACAGCTTTCTCTGTGCTAGGTCTTGCACACCCTTTGTCCTCCTGCACTGCACCCAGAAGCAGTGGCTCAGCCTTCCCTGTGTCTCCCAACCACATACACTGTCAGTGCTAGGAGGGGGCCTGGTTGAAGATAGGCCTGCCTTGTGTGTAGCAAGAACCCCATGTCAATACACCTGAAATGTAAGGAAAGTCAACTCCAAGTCAAGTCAAAGACACAGACTTACAGATTGCCCATTGCCTTCCACAGGATAGCTGCTTTGAGAAGTGCCTTCAGAAGGTGTAGGGAACTTGATTTAACTGTAAGTGGGAGGCTAGAGCCAGCAAATCATGAAGACTAGGAAGTCTGTGGCCAAACCCTGCAAGGCCCCTTATATTCCAGCTTTAGCACAGAGCACAGGGAGAATGGGGCTTGGGGTTTCCAGGCTGGGGCTAGCATCAAGAGTGGCTCTGGCTACCTTTCAGTCTGTGCTAACCTTGTAATGGCACTGTAAGACTTTAAAGTACACTGTAAAGTGTACATTGTATGACTTTTCATTAATTACCAAGAACATATCCCTCATTGTAAAATAAGGTGAGTAACATGTGTAAGGTGCAGAAATCACTGACAAGCAAAAAGCAAAGAGCCACAGTGGTTATTAACTAAAAACAGCAGATGGGCCCTGTGCATCTAATTTTACTCCCACCTCAAATCCTCTAAAATAACCAAAAGAACCATATTCTTGAAAGAATTAGGGAGTAACAGAGACCAAAACATAAGGCAGATTTGTCTTGGAAGGAAATTCTACCCTCATTACACCTTATCACCTTGGGCCATGTCAGGGCTTATGCTTTCCACAGGCACAACATCCAAGCATCAAGAGGGAGCCAGACAGGGGCTATCGCCCTCCCAGTCAGGCAGTGACAGGAGAGATGTTATAGAGAAGATGGTAGGCAGGGCTGCCGACCTCTCCTGAGCATCCTGGACCACAAGGACAACTTAATTTTTCACTCACAACATAAACTTGAGGGAAATGGGCTAAAGCAAAATCCAGAATGGAGAAATATGCCCCTCACCATAGAGGAAAGGTTATTCAGTAAGCAGCAGAAAAATCTCAAACACCTACATAATATTTGTGGAGATATCAAGGAAGATCTGGCAGATAGCATAACAAGTCAATCCACTGATCCAAGTTCCAACAGTATATGTCACAGAGAGAAAACAATCCTAAAATTCAGTTGGCACCAGAAGAGGCCTACAAGAGCAGAAACAAATCTGGACAATAAAGGCAAAGCAGGGAGCATCATAATCCCTGACTTAAAATTATACTGCAGAGCTACTATGATTAAAAACAGCATGGTACTGGCAAAGAAAAACAGATCCAATGATCAGTGTTACATGACAGAAGATGCAGAAACAACTCCAAACACACTCAGCCACTTTATCTTTGACAAAGGATGTATCTTTTCCTCACTTTAATAAATGGTACTAAGAAAACTGGCTTTCCATATGTAGAAGATTAAACCTAGATCCGTATCTCTCAACATCCACTAAACTGAATTGAGAATGGATCAAAGATCTCAATATGAAAATGGAAGCACTGACACTAAATCCATAATCAGTTGGCTCCAAGGCAGAGTGACATGGCACAGGGACAGCAGTTCATGGTAGCAGAAGATAGCAAAATCAACCAGAGCAAAAAGGAGAGTGGGATAGCAATCCTCTTTTCCTCTCTTAGAGTGTAAGCAGGTACCACTCTAGTGGGGGTGTAGCACTCACACAATCTCAGGATATTTACAAACTGAGGACCCTGGTCCCCTGCTTGGCCACTGACTTAAGCTCCTAAACTTCTCAAGTTGACACAATGTATCAACCACTACAATCCACCCCTTATCAACCTGGCAACCAGACACATTTCTCTAAAGCAGTTTCTAGATACAAAGACATGCTTATTCTTATCACTTCACCACTTGAACATTATAACACAGGTCTAACAATCCTTAAGAACCATTAAGTCTATCAGCATTATATTACATTTGAAACAACATTTTGCCCCCAGATCCTTAAAAAACTATGTACATCCCTTTAAGCAAAAGACATTTAGTCCATGTCTAAGAGTCACAGAAGTCCTAACAGTTTCAGCATTGCTAAAAACTCCAAATCCCAAGTCTTCTCTGCCATGTAAGGCAACTCTTAGCTACAAGCCTCTGTACACATGAAAAGTCAAACACACATTCAATAGCACAAAATAAACATGTTCATTCCAAAATTTACAAAGAGAGGAATACGAAGGATTGGGACTAAGGCAAGTCCAAATTCCAACAAGGCAAACATCAAGTCCTGTAGCTCCTTGTGCAGATTCTGAGGCAATCTGTGGCAAACTGTGAGCTCCAAAGAGCCTAGGTGGCTCTGCCCTATGGCACTTCTGGTGGCTATAGCTCCAATGGCTTCTTCCTTGGGCTGATTTTTCTCCCTCCTTTCAGGTTTCCTTAGATGATTCATGTACCTGGCTTTTCCAAATTTCTGGGGTCTCCACTGAACATCTGGCTTGACTTTCACAGCTTCACACATTGCCTTCCCAGGGGCACACTTCCTGGCCCCTCAGGACTTCTGAAATTGGGGTGGAAGCCTTCTTAACCCCACAACTCTTGCATTCTGTATGCACCTAAAACCAGAACTATGTGAATGATACCAAGGTCTGATGCCACCTGGAGAAGAAGCCAGACTTTCCTCTCTCTGCTGTAGTGGTCAAGTGCCTGAGTCACTGAGCACTCTGAAATCAATTCTGAGGAACAAATTCTCTGTGCCACCACTATTCTGGAACATGGTAGGGCTACCACTCCTCTGGAACAGGGTGCTCTGTGGCTTTTTCCTCAAAAGAAAGTTTTTCCCTTTGGAAATCTGGAAGCTGAAAGGGGTGTGAATTTGCTGCCTCTTGTGATACCCTCAGGCCATCTATTGTATTATCCTGTTCATTCTTAGCAACTGAGTTAGCCTCTGCTCTATTTTTATAGTCCTCCACTTTACTGGAGCTTCTTTTCTGGCCAAATTCACAATGTTTTAAGTAATCCTGCTGGACTTGTTGCTGTTTATTTGCAACACAAATCTGGCTAAAAGTCCCAGCAATAGCCATGCCATTGTCTCAACATTAGGCTGTCCTGAAATTTTTCTGCCAGATTAATTAGTCTATTGCCCTTAATCTCAGCATCAGGCAAAATCTCTAGACACAAGCTAAATGCAGACAAACTTTTTGCCAATCTGCTCTTGGGTCAGAAGGACCTATATAGTAAAAATGGTCACAATTCCAAAATAGTTACACAGATTTAATACAATTTTGATCAAAATACTAACAGCATATCTCACAGAATTACAGAAAACAATCCTAAAATTCTTTTAGAACCAGAAGTCAGCTACAAGAGCAAAAGCAGTTCTGGGTAACAAAGGTAAGATAGGGAGTGCCGTAATCCTTGACTTGAAACTATACTACAAAGCTACTGTGACAAAAGCAGCATGGTACTGGCAAAAATAATTAAACCCAAGAACTCATGGAATAGAATAAAAAAATACAGAAACAGATCCAGACCTACTCAGCCACGTTATCTTTGACAAAGGAACCACATCACTTCACTGGAAGAACAAATAGCCTCTTTGATACATAGTGATGGAAAAACTGGCTTTTCACATGCTGAAGATTAAAACTAGATCTGTCTTTCACCATGCATTGCACTAAAATCAAAATGGATCAAAGATCTACTGAAAAGAAAGAAGATATTTCAAAGATATTGAAAAGAAACTAAATCTATTGAAAGAGAAAATAGGTGGCGTGTGTGTGTGTGTGTGTGTGTGTGTTACCAGGGATCAAACTCAGGACCTTGTGCTTGCCAGGCAGCATTTATTCCACTGAGCTATCTCCCCAGCTCTTAGGTAGAATTCTTCAATACACTGGTGTGGGAAAAGTCTTTATGAACAAAATACTGATTACACAGAAATTATCCCAAAGGATCAACAACTGAGATCTCATTTGATTAAAAAGCTTTTGCACAGCAAGAGAAACTGCCAATGGAGGGAAGAGACAATCCACAGTGTGGGAGTAACTTTTACCAGGTGATCCTCAAGCAAAGGATTACTATCAAGAATGTATAAAGTGGGGCTGGTGAGATGGCTCAGTGGTCTAAAGCACATACTTAGAACAAGCTTTAGCAAAGCCCAGGGACCACGGTTCAATCCCCCAGCACCACATGTCAGCCAGCCCGCCCCCTGGTGGGCTGAGCTGGCCACACACACACATAAATAAATAAATAATTTTTTTTTTTTAAAAAGAATGTATAAAGTACTAAAAAAAAAAAAAAACACCCAAATTTAAGAACTCAAGAAAGGGCATCTGAAATAAATAGACACTGCTCAGATGAAGAAGTAGAAATGGCAAATATGTGAAAAAATGTTCAGCATCATCGGTCGTTCAAGAAATGCAAAATAAAACAATGCTGAGATTCCATCTCAACTCAGAAAGAATGGCTATTATCAAGAAAACCACCAATAACAAGTGCTGCCAGGGTTGTGGGGGGGAAAGGAAGTCGTCTCCCCTGTTGGTGGGAGTATGGACTGGTATAACCACTGTGGAAATCAGCAAGGAGATTCCTCAAAATCTACTCCATTCAACCCAACTATTCCTTTACTTGGTATCTTCTGAAAAGAATTAAAAGTATCATAGCACAGCAATGTATGCACACCCATGTTTATACAGCATAGTTTGTAATAGCTAAATCTTGAAAGCAGCCCAAATGCTCATCAACTGATAAATGAATGCAGACATGAATTTTTAAATACAGTGTAGTTCTATGCAGCCACAAAGAAGGATAAACTTGAGACATTTCTAGCTATGAGACACACATGTGTTAATACTGCATTGTTTCTCTGGTATGAGAAACCAAAAGTGTAAATAAGGACCAAAATGTGTAAGAGATTTTATGAAATAGGACGAAAACATTCAAACGAGAAAGGGCACTAGGGAGACAGGAGATGGAAAGGAAGGATGGAGAAAAAAATGAGAAAAGAAGGAAAAAATGAAAACAAAGCTTTTGTAAATAAGGAAAGGAAGAGGGGTTGAAGGGCAGATGGGAATGGCGGTGGGGGGGAATCAACATATACCATGTAAAGGCACAAATTCCGTATGATGAAGGTGATCGATATGTCTATAGAAATTACCAATACACTTAAAAAAAACTAAAGCCGGGGAGATGGCTCAGTAGAATAAGCACTTCGCTGGCAAATGCCAGGGCCTGAGTTCAATCCCCAGTTCTGCCAAAATAAAAATAAAAAAATTAAAACAAACACAAATTAATAAAAAGCTAAAAAAAGTCTACAAAGTGGGGTGGACATCCATAAGGAGTACAGGCGTCAGAAAAAGGAGTCATTCACATCAAATAAATAAAAAACAAAAATAAAACTGCAAAAGAGGCACTGTGCAGTACATCATGATCTAAGAGTCACTGTCAAGGAAATAAACAGCTGTCTTACAACTTACCACTTCGTTTCTGATCACTGCAATGCCAACAACTTGTTCTGCCACTTCTGCCACGAACACCTGCATTGGCGTCCCATCCTACAAGGAGAAGCAGCTGCTTTTGGACCCTTGAGCATGGCCATCAGTGTTCCCACGAGCAGCAGAGGTGGACAGGTGACTGTTGATCCCCTAACCACCATGGCAATTGACAAGTAGGGCTGGGTGTTAAGCTCCATGTCTTCCCAATGGCTGTTCCCTTTCACTTCAACTCTCCAAGTACTGTGATCCCATTTACAGTAAAACACAGCTTGGGAGAGTTGGTTACTTGCAAGACAGCCTGCTCAGATGGCCTGAACTGATGACGCAAGCCCAGTCCCTGCTCCTCAGAACTCACCTTCTTTACATCAGGGGTCATCGAATTCTCTGATCTCAAGACCGATACACACTGAAGACTCCAATGAGTTTGGTTTATGTGTGCAATTTTAACACAGCCTTCTATATTTGAAAGTAAATCTGAGAAAAATTTGACCTTAAGAAATTTTGTTTTCCAGCACTTGGGGGAGGATGAGGCAGGAAGATCATTGTGAGTTCGAGACCAGCAGACTACAAAGTGAACTCAAGGCTAGTCTGAATTGCACAGTGAGACCCTGTCTCAAAGAAAAAATTAAAAATATTTTGTATAATTTATTAATACAACAATATGTATGAATTTTTGTTTAATTTATTGATAAAACAAAATTTTAAATTTGTTCATTACTTTATTTTAGGATAACAATACATAAACTTGTTTATTTCATTTAAAATAATAACAGAGCATGGTAATATGATGAATTTTTAATAAAAATAACTACATCTTCCAAAACAAAAATATTGAAAGAGTGGCATGGTTTTCTGTTTTTGCCAGTCTCTTGAATGTCTGGCTTAATAAAAGACAGCTGGATTCTCAGATCTGTAGTCAATCTGTTGCAATATGTTATTTTGGTTGCAATATATGTAAAAAAAAATTCTGTCTTCACAAAAATATGTAATTAGAAAAGGCAGAAGTATTTAAATAATCTTTCCACATAATTATGGATATTCCTCCTCAACAATCTACCAAAACTCAACGGCTGGTGACGTTCATCCGAACACAGTGTTAATGAACAACATATACACTGCTCTTTTAAAATGGGTCGGAATGACTCTTTTATGTATGTGTGTGTTGGTAGCATCACGTCTTGTTTCCCTGGAAAATATCCATTCACCAAATGTTGACCCATTCTATTACAAAACATCCAGCATCACCTCCCTTACCACCACCACCCAAAACGTCTCAAGTACTGGATAACTGGCTCATTAAACTCCTAATAGCAGATACTGCTTTTTCTAAATTCTAGTTTTTTTCTTGATTGGATTATATCAGTGGAGTCAAAACTGGCTCTTGTCTTCTTGGAGTGATAAGCCATCTCATTCATTAAAAAAAAAAAAAAAAAAAAAAAGTCTGTTAACCACCCAAGTCCAAAACAATGTATTTTTCTGCCAGTTGTTCTTTTAGGTAAAAATGGTGTTCCTGGAGAAGGGCAGCTGGCTCAGCACGCAGAGCTCCAGCACTTTTCTCCACCAGCCAGTGCACTTGTGGCTGCAGCAGCAGATGCCCATGAGCATCTCCCTGTCGCACAGAGGGCTGAAGCACGTGGGTGCAAGGGCTGGGCTACGAGACGTAAGAACTGTATGGCTTCATCAAGGAGATCATCCAGTGAAATTTGCTTTTCCTTTTTTCAGTTGAGATAATGCATTGTAGATTCACATGCAATTGCAAGAAAGAACACAGAAACCCCCTGCACACGTTGCCCAGTATTCCCTGTTGGTAAGAGCTTGCAAAGTGATAGCATAAGACAAGCAGGAAACTGACACTGATTCACTTGTGTGTGGGGGGCGTATGTTGTGTGTGCAAGGGTGTGCATGCTTGTGTGTTACATTCTATGCAATTTCACCTCTTGTATAGGTTTCTGTAGCTACCACATCACGATCCTGCACACCTCCAACCCCACAAAAGACCCTTTATAACAATACCCACTACCCTGCCTAGAAAGATACAATCTGTTTTCCATTTCCACTTCTAAAATTATGCTACTCCAAGATGTTTTATGAATGGGGTCACACAGCACACAGCCCGTAAAGCCTGGCTTTGCTCTCGCTCAGCACAGCCCCTTCCTTTCCAGGCTGTGCCGTGTCCCACTGCAAGCCCTCACAGTGCAGCCATTCATCTAGACATCTGGGCTGCTGTGGGCCAAGTCCTCATTTCCCTGGAAGACATGCTCAGGGGTGCGTCTTTCAGTCAGAACAGTTGCAGGCTTAGTTTCTTGAGAAACAACTGACACGTTTCCCAGAGCAGCTGCACCTCTTAGGATCTTGCCAGCCATGTAGAAGTGAGCCAGTGCTCTGCATCCTTGTGGGCATTGGTGTACATCAGAGAGTGGGAAAGGAGTGTGACTTCCTACTCTTATGAAAATAGCCTGGCCTCACACACTCACTGAGCATCTGGATCTCAGACTGAAGATCCTAGGCTTGGGCTCCTTAGACCACACTTGGAGAACTCACACTTCAGTTCTTACCTCCAGTGGGGCCAGGAAGAAGGGAGTGAAAGAGACCAAGACAAACCAAAGTGAAGACAACAGAAGCGTGTGGCCAGGCTCCCTTCCAGGGGGTGAGTGTCATCCCAGGAGCACGGCCTGGCCCTGGATGCTTTTGGGATGGGCACCAGACACCCACAGGTCCTGAGCTCCCCTTCTATGACCACTTTCAGAGGTGCCCATCCCAGATCTATCTCATTTTGTCACATTACCTGCATCAAATTCAAACTTCCTACCCCCATAATCGTTGTAGGGTACTATCGCCACTCCTACCAGGGCCACCACTGTCGGAAGTAGCCTCACTTCCTCCCCCCTTGTCTCCTGTTTCTCACTTCTGTGCCTCTCCTATGGCCCCCACCTGCACTGCTCCTCCACTGTGGCCTCAGGGCAGGGAGGAGGCCACTGTGGTCACCCTGGTACTCACAGGGTCTCTGCGGGCCTCGTTGTACTGGGCCAGGTCCTCCAATATGCTCCTACTCAGCATGAGGGAGCTCACCAGCTGCTCCACACCAGGAGTGTCCGTACCTTTGGCTAATCTTATTTTAATGGACCTAGACGGGGAGAGAAACATTTCTTAGCTTCAAGTGCTAAAATGTGTTTCACTCCCAAATACAGCCCGGATTATAACATGTCACACTTACAAAGAATAAAAAGTGGAAAAGTGCAGTATGTAACATTGAGGTTTGATTCATTTTATAAAAATAACTAATTTTAATCTAAAAACCTCCAAACAACCACTCCACCCCCACAACCCCAAAAATGTGCAAAGAACAAGGTAAAAATCACCAAAAATGCCATGAACCAAAGATAAAGCAGTCATGCTTTTTCTTTTTGATGCTAGGGATGGAGCTCAGGGCCTTCACACAGCGTTGTATCCCCAGCCACTTCCATTTTTAATTTTTGAAATAGGACCTCATTAAGTCATCAAGCTGCCCAGTCTGGGCTTGGACTTGCAATCCTTTTGCCTCAATCTCCCAGAATGCTGGAAATTACAGGTGTGTGCCACCATGCCTGATTAAAGTTATACTTTAAATCTGCGTAATTTAGGTGTGTATCATTTACAACATTCAGCACCATGCTTTATTCCATGATGGAGAGCCATCTCATAGGCACAACAAAACTCTCCCACATTTTTAAAGACTGTTCAGAAGTTAAGGATTACATGGCCTGGACCTGCTGCATGAGTGTTCCCCATAAAGTGGCCCAGAGATGCACACAAGCTTGGGTGTCTGATTTATCTCATTTGACATTATGGCCTCAAATGCATCCATTGTTCTACAAATGACTCAAACTTGTGCTTCTTTACGGCAGAGCAGTACCCCACTGTGTGTAAACAGCACATTTTCTTTATCCATTTATCTGTTGATAGACACATAAGGCCACAAGATTTAGCTATGATGAACTGTGCTTTATTTATTTATTTTGGATTTCAAAGGTTTTTTTACGATATGATTCTTTCTTTAATTTTTTTATTTTATTGAGAAACAAGTATCAATGAGACAGTTTCAAAGCTGATTAATAGGACAGTTTCAATAATTAGTACATTGAACATTGTTATCTTCTTAGAGGTTATCCACAGTACAAGAAGCAGACAGGATATCCTGTCCAAGCACTATTAGTACAAATCTTTCTTCTCATTGAATTAAGCGAAAGGAGCTGTATATCTATCCTATTTTGTATATACAAATACAAAATGGACTTTCCTTTGTATCCCCTTTTTTTGTTTAGTCATGTCAGAGGTGGGTATTCTATTGGCATCTAAACACTATAGGTGCTTCATGGAGAGAAAACATTCTCTCAGGTTTTCACAGAGAGCACATTGGCCAAGCAATGGCCCTGACTCATCCACATGGCTGCACTGACAAAGG